CACTTAAGCCATCTGAAACAAATATCTAAGTAAAAAACAAATCTACAGTCATCACAATATTGTGTACAAAATTTTATATATATATATATATATATATATATATATATATATATATATATATATATATATATATATATATATATATATATATATATGCATATATATATATATGCATATATATATATATATATATATGCATATATATATATATATATATATATATATATATATATATATATATATATATATATATATATATATGCATATATATATATATGCACATATATATATATATATATATATATATATATATATATATATATATATATATGCATATATATATATATATGCATATATATACATATGCATATATATATACATATGCATATATATATATATATATATCCCTACATATATATACATATATATATACATATATATATATACATATATATATACATATATATATACATATATACATATATATATATATACATATATACATATATATATATATATATATATATATATATATATATATATATATATATATATATATATATATATATATATATATATATATATATATACATGTCTATGTATTGGTTTAAAAATTGTCACAAAAATAATGTACAAAAAATTATATATATATATATATATATATATATATATATACATGTCTATGTATTGGTTTAAAAATTGTCACAAAAATAATGTACAAAAAATTATATATATATATATATATATATATATATATATATATGGTTGAGATATTAGTTGTTGTCATTTGACAGTTTGTCCGGCAAACTATGACGACATATAAGAAAACAAAATATGACACTGACATGAAAATATTGCTGGTGTGCAAGAATTACATTTCACGTTTTTGCTGCTATTGACATCAGCGTTTAGAGAGTTTGATTCACAGATACATGTACAGAGTTTCTTCCAGGCATCTCTTCGGGGGGGCGAAGCCCCCCCCCGAAATTTTTTTACCGCCCCCCCCCCTCCGAACGAAATGAAATTTATATAATTTATATAGAAAATATATACTTTTAACAGTGTCCGCCCCCCCGAAGAAAGTTTACCGCCCCCCCGAAGATTTCAAGTGCCCCCCCGGAGAAAAAAGTCTGGAAGAAACACTGTACATGTAGCCTACACTCGTACAACAACTTTACATAAACTCACTCAATCTGGAATATTAACAAATCATCCATGACTGTACGACTACAATTACTGCAACTTCAACAAGAAAAACTTCATCGGTTTAGTTTTAAACCTTAACAATTGTGTTTCGCGATTATAAAATCCATTTCGATTTCGTGGGTAGTACATCCGATTCTGTGACCAGTTCTATTTTAACCCTCTGGATGCCGTTCTGCTAAATCTAGGTCACGTCAGTCAGTCGGGGTCAGACAGGTGGGATATGCAAATGAGTTTTCTGACAACAGAACCCAAACACCGCCATATTGAACCCAGTCAGGAAAGTCAATCGGGAGGTTTTTTTAATATAAATTCCCTTCATTGTTTCAAACTTCCGGCCGAGAACTTCCGGTCTATTTTCGGTTTGACAAAAGTAACCAATCACAAGAACGGCCCGGGTGGCAAGGTTATTTTAAAAAAAAATGGTTTAAAAAAATAGTTCTGAAATAATTTTAATGTAGTACTTGTACCCCCTCCCTCCCCAAAAAGCGAGTTTTGTGAAGGGTAAAATTTGTAAACGTGATTTCTAAAATTTAAAAAATAAAGCTTGGGTCGAGGGGAAGTACATTTCTCCTCGTTAATTAATTAGACAACCCTTGACCTTGTCTTTTTATCCATTAAGCCAATACGTCTCAGGTGAGATATGGAGATAATCAAACATACTAGAATACTACCGTCTATCAACTCTTAAATTATGGCTGATGATGTAAATACAAATCTAATAGGAAAGAAAACTCCAGAACTTTAAAAAAAAAGCCGTTAATTGGGACAGTTCTAGAAGCATCTATTGTGCGGGATTTGTAGTCTCAGAATGGCAAAAGTATCAAAATTATAAATTATGTATTTATGAGTGGTAATCAATTAGTAACCAGATGGAATTTTTTTTTTTTGGTTTTCGTTAGGAGTTTGAGGGTTTGAAGATAAACCAGAGTTGTTTATGGTATCTAAATCCAAACTCGGTAAAGAATCTGTGATAATCACAGTACTTTATCCAAACTCGTGAAAAAAATAAAGTATTTTGAATTTTCACCTAAAATTTGTTTAATTTTTAAAAAAATATTACGTCCACTATGGAGAAAACTCATATTAAAAACTGATACGGATTTTTATTTTTAATTCATTCATGCCAAAAAGGACGGGGTGGCATAGCGGTAGACAGCTTGACTGCTAACCCGTAAATATCGAGTTCGAATCCTGGTTCAAGACAGTGATGTGTACCTAAGGGAAAGTAATGGCGGCTGGGCATAGTGCTGACCACACTATCCCTTCAGATGCCGAGGTCACAGAAACAGGTGAACTATACTTCCCCATAGACCGTCAGGTTTGGAAGGGGAACTTACTTTTTGTGCCAATGTCATCATAGACCATCCCCACTTCACCAACAACTCTGTATCGAACTTTGATTCTTTTTTTTCAGTTTTATTTCTTCAACTTGTAACACAAAACCATATAATCAAGCCCTTTAAAAAAACTTTTGACCAAAAACTAAACCAAGCAACATCCGGACTCCTCCCCCCAATGATGTTTGAACATCGCGATGTTCACATCATTACGCCGACAAGATGTTTTTTCCCCCACCCACCAAACCATCTCTGGATGACGTCGAGTTGTTAAAGTGCATTATCAATCCTAGCCCAAGAGGACAGATCTAATTGCCGTATTGACTGGACCTAATGGAACCTCGGGTTTCACCGCCAAACCTAATGGCGGGCTCTAGCTCCCTACAGAGGTGGGGTGGGGTGGTTCGGGGGTAGGGTGAAGTATTCACGATTAATGATTTTGAAAAAATCAATTACTTTAACAAAATGTTAAAAGTACGATGATCTATCCTGGCCCGGGGATTAATTAAAAAGACAATTAAGAATTGATTGACAGGATGGACTGACAGGTCAGATTAATCTAGGGAGACGTTAGACGGGAAGGGGGGGGGGGGGGAGGGGGGAGTTGATTTGTAGGGGAGGGGGGATGGCGTTGTGTTTTATGAAATACCAGTAAGTTAGAAGAAACAACCAGGTGTTTAGTAAGTAGTGACCATCTTCTGTGGGCTTTAATTGGCAACGGTCAGGCATAAGATATAACTGTTGGTCAAGCCATAAGATATAGCTGTTGGTCAAGCCAAAAGATATAGCTGTTGGTCAAGCCATGCGATATAGCTGTTGGTCAAGCCATAATATATAGCTGTTGGTCAAGCCAAAAGATATAGCTGTTGGTCAAGCCATGCGATATAGCTGTTGGTCAAGCCATAATATATAGCTGTTGGTCAAGCCAAAAGATATAGCTGTTGGTCAAGCCATAAGATATAGCTGTTGGTCAAGCCATGCGATATAGCTGTTGGTCAAGCCATAATATATAGCTGTTGGTCAAGCCAAAAGATATAGCTGTTGGTCAAGCCATAAGATATAGCTGTTGGTCAAGCCATAATATATAGCTGTTGGTCAAGCCAAAAGATATAGCTGTTGGTCAAGCCATATGATGTAGCTGTTGGTCAATCGTAAGACATAGCTGTTGGTCAAGCCAAAAGACATAGCTGTTGGTCAATGGCCAAGCCATAATTCATAGCTGTTGGTCAAGCTAGATTTGAGTAGCTATGGTAATAAAAATATTAAGGACACAAGCTATGGTCAGTAGCTAAGGTCCTGAGGGGGCCAGTAGCTCTGGTCAAGTAATGGCTTTAAGCTATGGTCAAGTATAGCTTTAACTTAGGTCAAGTAATGGCCAGTAGCACTGGTCAAGTAATGGCCTTTAGCTCTGGTCAAGTAATGACCTTTAGCTCTGGTCAAGTAATGGCCTTTAGCTCTGGTCAAGTAATGTCTAAAAGCTCAGGTCAAGCAATGGCCTAATTCTTAGGTCAAGCAATGGCCAGAAGCTGTATCCCCATGATGGCCAGCACTTGTGGCCAAGTGGTGGTCCTTGGCTGTAGTGAGGTTCAATAGCTTTGGTCAAGCGATAATCTATTAAGACGGTCTTATTGACGACCTTAACTCTACGTCACTCAACACATTCCCAACGTTATGGTACAAAACTACGTGACTTTAGTCCTACTAAATCAGAAGACTACGAAAACAAAATATAAACAAATAAAACGACACAGAACCCAAATCAATTTTTTTGGGACCGAGCACGCGTCCCAACACTTCGCTTGCCGAGAAAACTAATTACAAAACTTTTACACCGGCTCCCAGCTCTTAATCCGGCTCTTAACCCCGCTCTCCGCGGAAACCGTTTTCATCGGAAGCTGCCCCTCAGCCGGACACTGTTATTTCAAAAATCCAAATTGATTTCCGCTTCCGGGTTTTTACAAAACCGCAAAGAAAACGAACTTTCTGTTATTTTTTTTATACAACAGGCATTTTACATGTCCCTCCATCAATTGTTTTATTTCCGGTAACCGGAAATGATACTTACTTTATTTCCGGTTATCAAAAAAAGTAAAACTAAATTAATGTCCAACAAATATAGTTGATACAAGATTGTCCCGTCACTATTATGTGGGAGGAGATACTGTTTCAATTAAAAAAAAATTTATTTGTGGTTTGGAACCCATCAAGTAATAATTTATTTTCCATGTTGAGATAATCAGACAATAATTGACGTGTGAAGTGTAATCTCAAAAATCCTATGATAATCAACAATAAAACGGTCACGTTATGCCTGCCACGCCCTTAATCCTCTTCTGATGTATTCACTCATCTTAATCCTACTAAAAAAATATTTGGTCGATTTGAATACCAAATAGTCAATACAACCATTCTTGTTTTGGGAATATGTCTTTACCAATCTATACAAAGGTTCGGTCTATTTCGATACGAATCGATACATATATTCATCAATTGTAAGTACTCAACTGTCAGCATATACGATTCGGGTGATTCCGATACCAGGGATTCGATACTGGCTAATTTGCATAGTAGTCGTCATCTTTGTATCACAGAATGAGACATCGGTTCCTCCGTAAGGCGTCCTGCACACGCATTGACGTCGGCTTATGTCCGTAATCGATATAGTCCACAGTTTTCATGAGCTCTTTGAAGAGCAGCATGATGTGCCAGTTGTACTTGGCCGAGCACTCGATGTAGCCACACTTCCACTGCTTCTTCACCATGTTGGCTACCTGAAATAAGGGAACAAAGATTTAGTTTTACAACATGGTGGCTACCCGGAACAAGTTTTACAACATGGTTGCTACCCGGAACAAGTTTTACAACATGGTGGCTACCCGGAACAAGTTTTACAACATGGTGGCTACCCGGAACAAGTTGTTTTATAACATGGTGGCTACCCGGAACAAGTTGTTTTATAACATGTTGGCTACCCGGAAAAAGTTTTACAACATGCTGGCTACCCGGAACAAGTTTTATAATATGGTGGCTACCCGGAACAAGTTAAGTTTTACATGTTGGCTACCCGGAACAAGTTTTACAACATGGTGGCTACCCGGAACAAATTTTACAACATGTTGGCTACCCGGAAAAAGTTTTACAACATGGTGGCTACCCGGAACAAGTTTTACAACATGTTGGCTACCCGGAAAAAGTTTTTCAACAAGCTGGCTACCCGGAACAAGTTTTACAACATGGTGGCTACCCGGAACAAGTTTAACAACATGGTGGCTACCCGGAACAAGTTTTACAACATGGTGACTACCCGGAACAATTTTTACAACATGGTGGCTACCCGGAACAAGTTAAGTTTTACATGGTGGCTACCCGGAACAAGTTTTACAACATGGTGACTACCCGGAAAAAGTTTTACAACATGCTGGCTACCCGGAACAAGTTTTACAACATGTTGACTACCCGGAATAAGTTAAGTTTTTCATTTTAGCTACCCGGAACAAGTTGGAGAAATTTTGTTGTTTCAAAATATTGGCCAATGAAAAAAGTTGCATAAAGTTAAGTTTTTCAAATGTTGGCAACTGAAACAAGTTAACGGAAATCAAGTTTAACTCAAGTACTACGAAGTGTCAAAACAACTGATACCATGAACAAGTTAACAAACATCTAGCTTTTCGACTTTACAGCCAATAAAACAAGCAAACAAAAATACGTTATTTGATATATTGTCCAATGTTAAAAATAAAAAAAAAAGGTTCTAGAAAATCTGGCCAATAAATTAAGTTAGCCAAAATAAATGTTACATGTTGGCCAATAAAACAAACAAATTAAAAAAAAAATACGATTTTCGGCATGTAGGATAATGACATAAGCAAACATCTATAAGGACGCTCTATTGTGGTAAAATTGGAACAATACAACGCTGAAATAATACAAACAAAAATTGAGATTCTAATTCATAAAAAATAAATGCGCTGTCAATAAAAAATCAAATTGTATTCGAAAAATAAATGAATGTTGTGGATTTACTCTTATGTTATTTTCCCCATTACATTCTGATAAGAAATAAAAAAGTTATCTATTCTTCCATGATCGCTCGTGTTTTAAGAATGTTCAACAATATATATCGGAGCATGAAATTAGAAAATAAAACTTGTATATAGAATTGTTTTTTAATATCAGCCCCCTACCTTCGAACACCCGCTCCTAAAAGATCTAAGAACATTCAAACAGAAAAATAGAAAGAAAAAAAAAAAAAACAATGACTGTATAAACTGCACCTGACATGAAGGTAGACCTTATACCATTAACTTGAACACATTTTATTTTTTATTTCAAATTCATTGAAAAGACTTTAATAAAACATGTGGGGGCGGCACGTTCGAATAAGCCAGGGACGCCATCACTAACCCAAACATCGAGCCTGGTTTGTGAATTTAACTCTTTGAGTCCTGCCAGCTCTAACACAAGGCGGGTAAAGTTTAAAAAAAAAAAGGACCGACAGACCATTCTATCCTTTCAAATAAAGTGGAGAAAGAAACAGAGGAACTCTACTTCGTCTGATCTGAAAAGGTATTAAATTTTACTTTACTTCTGTTACCACCTGTACACCTGTTTCTGTACAATTGTTTAGGTGTACATAAACTATGCCATGCTTTAAAATAAGTTTGTGATAAGGGAACGAAGTGGTCGGTGAATAGATCAGAGACTGGCTGACTCAACGATCTCTTGTTCGGTTACTTGTTTACAAACTGGCTCCTAAGTCTGCATGAGATTCCTACCACGCTATGTTAGCATGGAAAAGCAAAGAAAGAGGGACATTCCATTAGAGGAATGTGTACACTATACACACTTTCTACATACAGTGAACCCAAACAGACAAACTGTACTTTATCTACTTTTATCAAGTTAAGCTCCTATACAGTACTTAAAAAATATGTTTTTTTTTTTACATAACTGTACGTAACATCAGACAAGACTACAGAAGACACCGTGCCGAAGTTGTTTTTTTACCCAAACATATGCGCCGCAGTCTAAACGGTCCCCTTTTTTGGGCCCACCGTTTAGAAAAAAAATTCCCCAGTATCTTTGCGTTAGCGGTATCGCGGTGATTTGAATTTGGCAAGGACCGGAAGCGACGTCACGAGTTAAGAGAGAAACTGTTTTTGGAATACAGAAGAGCGTGATTTAAATTCAAATCTCAGAAGAAAAGCAGACGATTGCCGATTGATCCTGGGCCCAATGACCCTTGGTACCACGTGATGTGGGGGCGGGGGGGGGGTAGTTTAAAAAAAAAAGAAATTTTGTAATATTGGGCCCGGAGATTTGACTGCGTCGTGGACACGAATGACAAAGTGGGGGGTGGGGGGGGGGGGTAGGATAGAGAGGGGGAGGGGGGGGGAGATGTACTATAAAGAAATTGCTCTGAGCTAATGTTTTGGGGAGTTTTGAAGGGCCAAAACAACACGCAATTAGATTAAATGTAAAGTCAATATAAAAGTAAGGACAAGTTTAGTAAAGGTTAACACAAAGTAGAATTATATCAAAGGAGAGTAAAAGTAAAGTATAGTGTTACAATAAAGTAAAGTAATGCAAACGTTGAAAATGGTACTTTAAAAAATAAGATAAATTAATATGAATGTAAAACAAAGGTTTCAGAAAGTTGGTTTAAAATATAGTAAAATAATATAGTAGTAAATTTTAAAAAGAAAATGATATTAAAGAAATGTTAAGGTTAATTTAAATTACGGTGAATATATAAAGGAAGATGAAATAGAGTTAATGTGTTAATGAGCATACCCAACAACTTTATCTTTCCTTATCTTTGCCAGATATTTATTCCTCTAGCTATAGTGACATACAGTGCATTATACGCGAACCGAACGTAAGCCTTGTGCGATAGTGAAACCCGCTCTACCGTTTGACCAAGTAGAACTACGTATGTATGCAATAAACTGATTCTTTGGAAAAAAAAACGACTTTTTAGTCAAAGTCTAAAAACTACAACTACAAATATTCAAACAAACGATGCAGTATAATATCGACGTCTATTTAGAGCCATAGTTGATTGAACTGCTAATAAAAATTAAAGTAGTCATCTACAGTTCGATTGGCCCACATACCACTTACGTGGTTAGCCCTATCTTTATGCAGCCACTTCCGTAGTCGCATTGAAATAGACTAATCTTCCGTCTGCTAGAGAAGCCATACAAATTTGGTTGATTTCAATTACACTTTTATTTGCCCAAAATATCAAAATCGAAATAAAAGAAATTCCCATTCAGTTGGCAGGGAAAAAAAAAACATTGAAAGAATTTAAACCATCCTCGACCGAATGCAATTTTCATTTTACATTTCAGGCTATTTGTCCCCGAAATGTCCCCCTCCCCATGTCAGCTCCTTTCCCTGGAGGAATCAGAAAAACACTCGCAAAAGGCGAAACGTAATCTTCCCTCCTAGCCCAAAACACGGCAAACGTTTTAAGAGGCACTGCGCATGACATTGGCGCCCATTATGGTTTATTTTTAGCAGCGCTACGTAAGACCGCTATCCTCTAAACAACTCATATATGATTAGATTTTTTTTTATACGTTCTCTGAATTTTAATTTAAAAAAATATTTTAAAAATATATCAAAACAAATCATTTAGATAATTGTGAACATCTGTGTTAGGTTAAATGCATGAAGCGCTTTATATATTTTTGTCTATGTTAAAAAGTCGGTTAATTTAATTAGATCAGGGAAGAGTTTTAAAGAATGTTTTTTTTATCTTTATCTTTGGTTGTTCCTACTACGATCTGGGGGAACTAGCTCTAAGGTTTAGTCATCTAGGTCAAGGTAACCATCTAGGTCAAGGTAACCATGGCACAAGTATGTTAAGGTAGTGCTGACGTCAGTATTAATTGTGGGGGAGGAGTGGGAATAATACGTTAAAGACACATTGTTTGTTTATGTTCATTATGAGTACGTCGAAGGTAATAAGACCACTACGTGTGCTTTGCGCTATGAAGTGGTTTTAAAATCAACATAAATTCCCGCTCTATTTCTTATAGTCACAACAGCTTGGGCTCATGCAAACAGAATGTATACATTGGGACATGTAGCAGGTATAACAGACCAACGGTAACCTAGGTAGCACAAGCAACATTAAGTAATAAATTGTGACATAGAGCAGGCTATAACAGACCAACGATAACCTAGGTAGCACAAGCAACATTAAGTAATAAATTGTGATATAGAGCAGGTATAACAGACCAACGTTTAACCCAGGTGTAACTCAAGAAACAGAAGTATTCAGTGATAAATAGGGTTGGTAAGTAGGTCAACAACCAGTTCTACGGTCAATAAAACCTGCGTTAGCCATATAACTCGTTGGTGACCTATTTACCAGCCCTATTGTGTCATGGAGCAAGTATGACAGACCAACGGTAAGCTGTCACATGCAACATTCAGTGATAAATTGTGACATGGAGCAAGTATAACAGCCCAACGTTAAGCTGTCACATGCAGCATTCAGTGATAAATTGTGACATGGAGCAAGTATAACAGTCCAACGGTAAGCTGTCACATGCAGCATTCAGTGATAAATTGTGACATGGAGCAGGCTATAACAGACCCAGGGTAAACTAGGTGTCACAAGAAAACAGACGACCCTGTACCCATTTGATGAATCATTCTTGCTTACTGAGTTACTTCTATTGTAAATATAGAAGCCTAACTTATAAAACATTAATACAAATAACATTCCCAATATATTTCAATTATTATTTTAAAAGAGATACAGAATAGATATTGCTATGGTGAAATCGAAAGTAGATAGCTGCTGGGCCTTGGAATATGCTGCAATGTTTTAATTATTCAAAAGTAGAACAATTTATCATGAGATTTCGCAATGTCAAGACGGGAAGATTTTTTTTACCATGTTAATGTGTTATTATCAGTGGCGTAGCCAGGATCGTCTCAAGGGGGGGGGGGGGGGTTCCAATTTTTACCCGGGGACAAACTTTCGATTTGCACCCCCCCTCAAACTTTCGATTTCCACCCCCCCCCCCCCCTCATACTTTTTATATATACCGAGGGGTCTATGACGGGGGGGGGGGTTATGACCCCCCTAACCCCCCTGCCTACGCCACTGTTTATTATATACCGTCTTTATGTTTTTAATGGCATGTAGATATAGGTTAAAATACAACATTTTTACAAGGAGATCATACAATAAATTAAACCCTGTTTATAGGTACTAGTTCAAATACCAGTTCGATCATAGTTGATGGTCCAACAAATTAGACGGGAATAGTATACGACTGATACACAGTTGATAAGGTGCTAAGTAGTTTACATTCTAAATAAAAAGTAGTTAATAAAAAAAAACCCAATCATACAACAAATCAACCCCTAACATAAAGTGGTCAGGGGCTAGAGCAAGCAACTAGAGGTTGAACGTTTGGGGTTCAGTTCTAAACTTTGATATGTAGGGCGTAGATAACACACACTTCAAGATGGGTGCCTGACTCTAGACGGTGAAAGTAAAATCTTCTGGGTATTAAACTATTATGCTAGATATATTTTTATACTGCCAGGCATAATAACATGAACTCTAAGACTTAATCTGCTAGACAAAACCATGTTAAAGTACAGGTAATTGAATGAATTCAGAACGGAGAAGTGTTTCGACAAAAGGCCACCGTCAGACATGCTCACCTCGCGGACCTCCCTACGGGGAACGCCTTTCTCCTCCGCCAGGTCGTGCTTGTTCCCCACCACAAAGATGGGCACGTCATGGCAGTTTCTAGACTCCAGGATCTGTAGTCTCAGGCTTTTGATGTACTGGAACAAGAGGGTTAATGGTAGGGTTAATGGTAGGGTTAGTTTCTAGACTCTAGGATCTGTAGTCTCAGGCTTTTGATGTACTAGTAGTATATTAGGTCCCTTTTGGAGCGAAGGCGCAGGCGCTGGGTGAGGTGGAGCAGGAGCAGGAGCAAAGGCTATATAGGAAAATACTCCCCCAGCCTGGTACAATGACATATAGCAAAATACTCCCACCACCAGGCGCAGCCTGCCGCAGCCTGGTACAACGAGATATAGTAAAATACTCCCTGGGGGAGGTGGAGGTACACCGACATATAGTAAAATACTCACCCACCTGGGTGAGGGTGGGTGAGCAGGATGTACAATGAGATATAGTAAAATACTCACCCACCTGGGTGAGCAGGTGGGTGAGGGTGGGTGAGCAGGATGTACAATGAGATATAGTAAAATACTCACCCACCCTAGGGTGGGTGAGCAGGAGGGGGAGTAGGTCAGTAGGTCACCACCGGTGACCTTGTGACGTAATCATTGACCTTGTGACGTCATCATTGACCTTGTGACGTAATCATTGACCTAGTTACGTAATTTTAATGCGTTTTTTAATGAGTTTTAATGAGTTTTTTAAATTTTAATTAATTTTTGACCTAGTTACGTAATTTAATGCGTTTTTAAGGAGTTTTTAAATTTTTAATTAATTTTTATTATCGAGTTACGTAATTTAATTACTTTGATTGTATTTTTATTTTGTTTAATTTGTTTGTTTACTTGTTGTTTAATTTAATTACTTTGTTTATATTGTGTAATTTTTTATTAACGAGTTACGTAATTTGATTATTTGTTTACTTTTTAATTATTTTTATTTTGTTTATTTTTAATTTTATTTTATTTTATAATTAGTTAAATTATTATTAACTAGTTACGTAATTTGATTTTAATTTTTTTAAATTTTTAAAAAATTTTTAAATTATTATTTTTAAATTTTATTTTTAATTGTTGTTTACTTGTTGTTTAATTTAATTACTTTGTATAATTTATTTGTTTGAAATTCATTTTAATTAGTTTGCTGTTAATTATTGGCGACAGATGTTACCAAGCGGGTGGTGGTGGTGGTGGTGGTGGTGGTGGTGGTAAATTTGCTTAAGATTATAAACTTCAAGTTTTAAAAATCAACAACGTTATGGACCATTCAGCAACACAACGAACGGTTACCGAAAATAGAACATCCATTTAACCACATCTGTTACTTATCGATCCGTGATCCTTTGTTGACACGCGCTGCGCTTTTAATGGGAATGTATTGATCGCACCCACGGAGCCATCGGGACAACGGGCGCGTTAATATTGATTCCACACACAGCCATCAAATGATGGTCCGCCTAATTAATTTGGGCATGCATCGTGGGTTTATGTCGACTACAAACATCCATTAGAGACACCTGTTACTCGCTAAGGGCACCCGACACGTATCGATCCACCGGCGATCCTTTGTTCTTGTCAACCACCGTACAAGGGCCAAGTTAATATTGATCGAACCCACTGACCATCAGTATGATGGTCCACCTATGTGTAATTTTTATTAACGAGTTACGTAATTTGATTTTTATTTTGTTTATTTTTAATTTAATTTAATTTTATAATTAGTTTAATTATTATTAACGAGTTACGTAATTTGATTTTAATTTTTTAAATTTTTAAATTTTTTTTTAAATTATTATTTTTAAATTTTATTTTTAATTGTTGTTTACTTGTTGTTTAATTTAATTACTTTGTATAATTTATTTGTTTGAAATTCATTTTAATTAGTTTGCTTTTAATTTCTTTGTTGTACGCCGTTTGAAATAAAAGACTAACACTAGCGTGTACTAGAAAGTGTCATTGTGTATAACATCCATTTAACCACAGCTGTTACTTATTAGTGACAGCTTGTACTTATCGATCCGCCCGTGATCCTCCCCGGCGCTCCCCGTGGTTGCTTAATAGCGGGCTCACTGAAGCGATCACAACAGATAATTAATCGAAGCCATTAAGTCCCTCGACGCGTTAAGTGTGGCGACAGCTGGTGCTGTAATTAGTCACGGCTCTCGGCTTTTTTCATTAGACTACAGCTGTACATGAACTATGTTCACATATCGTACGCCCGGTCATTTCTTTTGATCAAATTAAAAAATTTTGTTTCCACATGTCCTGCGAACCGTCCCTTGGTATGTATGAAAGATTAATGGTTGTAACTATTCGCTTATAGCGAGGGTCAGCGAAAACAAAAATATATTTAAGGGTCGGAATTTTCTTTCAACCACCGTTAAGTCAGGTTTTGAGACGAAACGAAGTCTCGGTAGGTTCGTGTTTTTTAATGGGCGACAGGGCGACTTGGTGCGTTGGTACGTAGGTATGCGGGGTAGACATGTTTTTTACAAGTCTGGAAAAGTAATTACGTTTTTTATGACCGTTCCGATTTTCTTTTGATCTGACCACCATTTGACCACACTGAGCCAGATAAATTTAACAATTGTCGCAGCGGGGTTTATTTTAAGTGCACCCCGTGCACGCTTGTTTACATTTTAAAAGACGTGTCGCGTGTCTTCCCCTTACGGCTTCCCTAATAGAGAAACGAGAGGAAAGACAACTGTTCTAAAATTAGAACAACCTTGTCTACAGACACGAGTATCGTCCCTTGTGAAAAAATTCGCGTCAGAATCCTTAACTAAACAGTCAATTTCTTTAAAAAGTTAAAAAATAATTTAGGAAGACAAGGGTTAACAAAATATATATCTTAGTCTTGCAGCAGATTACCTTCCCATGTTCGCTTTAGTATTACAGTTTTCATCAATCTTCTTTTTGACTTGAACTTCTTTAATTTTTAAGAAAGTTAACTTATACATAATACATTACGTCTAATGACAATTTTTTTATTTTTACCACTCAATGTATTTTCTTTTTCTATATCTTACATTGTCATCTTAATTTTTGATCACCTTAGGTGGTGGTAAGGTGGTAAGGTGGTGGTAAGGTGGTGGTAAATTTGCTTAAGATTATAAACTTCAAGTTTTAAAAATCAACAACGTTATAGTACGTCGTGTCAAATGACACACCGTTAAAATGTCTACATTTAAAGTTCACCAAAATAATGACGTAAAAACTAAATATGATATGACGTTAGCATACATATCATTCAATCTAATCACTCTAAAGTACAAATCAATAATTTTGATTGATTAAGGGGCTGGGTGAGTTATTTTTATCACTATTCGCCCTTCCCCTTCCCTTTGTCCGCAACCCCGTTCCCCTTCTCCCATCCAACCTTGCGTCATCACACTAACCTCAATACCAACCGCTAGATAAACAGACCGTACTACTACTCACACTATTCCTTGGACAGACAAAGGCTGTATGACAATCCTACAGACAAATATTTATTCAACTAATATCACAACCCCCTAGAAACCACTCCAACAGACTGGGATACATAACTTGTAGACACCACTCCTCGTTGAATATCTCTTGCACCCTACCTACATCGACAACTTTGTCCGCCACCCTCGCCCCCGTCCCTAGTATGAACTCGGTTACCAACAATTTCAAAACATGCATGTTCCGAGTTCAAAACCAACCTTCACCGACACTAGTATGAACTCGACCCCTAACACTTCCAAAACATGCCTGTACTAACTTTGAAACCACTTCGGTGAAAACTTCACCGACCCTAGTATGGAGTCTACACCTATCGATTCCAAAACACGCATGTTCCGAGTTCAAAACCAACCTTCACCGACACTAGTATGAACTCGGCTACCAACAATTCCAAAACATGCATGTTCCGAGTTCAAAACCAACCTTCACCGACACTAGTATGAACTCGGCTACCAACAATTCCCAAACATGCATGTACCAACTTTCCAACCTGCCTCAGTACTAACAAAATTCCCCGACCCTAGTATGAACTCGACTGCCATCAATTCCTAAACATCCATGTACCGACTTTGTAACCTGCCTCGGTGAAAACTTCACCGACCTTAGTTTAACTCTCCCTAACAATTCCAATGATGCATGTACGAACTTTGTAACCTGCCTCGGTGAAAACACCCCCGTCCCTAGTATGAACTCGGTTACCAACAATTTCAAAACATGCATGTTCCGAGTTCAAAACCAATCTTCACCGACACTAGTATGAACTCGGCTACCAACAATTCCTAAACATGGATGTACCAACTTTGCAACTTACCTCGGTGTTAACGAAAACTCCCCTGACCCTAGTATGGACTCTACACCGACTGATTCCAAAACATACATGTTCCGAGTTCAAAACCAACCTTCACCGACACTAGTATGAACTCGGCTACCAACAATTCCTAAACATACATGTAACACCTTTGCAACCTGCCTCGGTGAAATCATCTCCGACCCTAGTTTGAACTCGGCTGCCAACAATTCCTAAACATGCCTGGCCCAACTTTGTAACCTGCCTCGGTGAAAACTTCACCGACCCTAGTATGAACTCTAGACCTACCGATTCCAAAACATACATGTTCCGAGTTCAAAACCAACCTTCACCGACCCTAGTATGAACACGGCCCCTAACAATTCCAAGGATGCATGTACCAACTTTACAACCTGCCTCGGTGTTAGCAAAACTCCCCGACCCTAGTATGAACTCAACTGCCAACAATTCCTAAACATGCATGTCCCAACTTTGCAACCTGCCTCGGTGAAAACTTCACCGACCCTAGTATGGCCTCTCTACCTATCAATTCTAAAACATGGATGTACCAACTTCGAAACATCCCTCTGTGTTAACAAAACTCCCCCGACCCTACTATAGACTCGACCCCTAACAATTCCAAAACATGCATGGTCTAGCTTCGAACCTCCCTCGGTGAAAACGTCACCGACTCGTGTATAAAATCTGTCCCAACCAACTCCAAACCTTCCCTGGGCACCCGAATAAAAATAACTCACCCAGCCCCTTAATCAATCAAAATTATTGATTTGTACTTTAGAGTGATTAGATTGAATGATATGTA